TCAATAAAGACTTCAAGGCAACACAATAAGCAAGGAAAATAGCATTTGAAAACATACCAGCACAGACACACTCACACACACGCACGCAATCACGCACGCACGCATGCACACACACACTCAAATCAATTATAAATTATTATTTTTTTCAAAAAAGTGTCAAATGTTATTAATTGAGCTTTATAAATGTTTGATATTTTATTTCAAACAAAATTTATTCGACTTTTTTTTTTTTTTTAAACCATCCCAAGTCCACGGCTTTCGGAAACCAAAAGTTTACACTTGGGATAGCAATACAACATGAATACTTTTTTTTTTAAAAACCTCTTTTCTCTCCAAGCCCTTTTTAACTGGCCTGCCCACTTACAGGCATGCGATGGTGCCGTTGGTCATCGAATTGATTGTCTGACATTGCTTGACGCCGTTCGAACACTCTGGAGGAGACAGTTGATACACCGGGACTTATCTTGAACGTACAGAGGAGTTTAGACAATGCAACAGACGACACACTTACATACGACACACTTACATACGACACACTTACATACGACACACTTAGATTCAAGCGGCGCACTTAGTACATACCACAAACTAAGTACATACGACACAATAGGTATATGTGCGTCACACTTAGCACATACGTAACAGTGTTTACGACACACTTGGTACATACGTCTCACTTAGTGCGCACGTCACACTTACTGCATACGTCACACTTAGTACCAACGACTCACTTAGTACAAACGACACATATCCCGTAGTGCTTAGGCTTAGGTTCAACATATACAGGCTTAGGGCCAAAAGAGCTGTTGGGCCACAAACCCTTCTTCTTTCTATGAATAACCCCGACCACCAAATTAGTTTGTCTGTGCCCTTCACCCTCACGACACACGCACACACACACACACACACACACACACACACACACACACACAAATTCAGTGCACTGGAGAATTTAATTGATTTGATATGAGATTGAGTGTTAAGAGTTTAAATTTTTTTAAAAGTAGTTGATCGAAAAAAAATCGATCTCCACTTAGGCAAATCAAATATTGATAATTCGTAGAAATATGTATTGAAATAGTTACCTTCTAATGTTAGGCTGCTCGCTACACTGGGAACAACTGAAAGAGATTCCAAACGGTAGGACATTACAGTGGTGAAGGCTGAATACCAGACTGACCTCTAATCATGATGATGAAATAACATGGTGGTACCCTAATTATTGGGGCATTGAATGAAGTTTCACAGCGGAAATAAGGTTTGGCCTGCAAAACTGTCTTATTGGAAATCAGATGCATTGGAAGAATCTTAATTAGCAATAAGTTAGTGCAGGAAGGTAGACAGACGCATAATTTGTTATGTTGAAATTGATAAGCATGTTTACTGGAGCCCGTATTTCTATCGTGATCTTATAGTTTCTCCTTCGACCAGTAGAGCTTAAAATATTATAATCAGCTGTAAACATTTCAGCCGCGAAGCCATACAATCCTTCAAATATAATGACGCAAAGAGTAAGTTTTTGGTCCGGCTGTAATCAAGAGAGTGACCCCACTGCTATTTACAACCTACCACAATGTTGTCCGGCCGTGCTTTCTTCTTCGCGCGCCTTAATGGCCAAGATCTGTTGGAAATACAACATACTATTATTTGAAAATGACTATTCTTCAAGAAAACAGATAAGCATATTTTTTTTTTCAAGTTACATACTACTTCATTAAAAAATAACATAAAATTAGCCAGTAAAGTTAAAGAAGGAAATAATGGTGACGAAATAATACCATATACATTTTGTTGTTTACTCAAACGCTTTTTAACAGTAAAAAAATATGTGTTATTTTTTTAATTACATTGAACATATGTTATCGTATCTGATCGAAACTCCACTATAGTATCATACAAGGCAATGGGTGAAAATGAGAAAATATTATTCCCATGTGGCAATTTCAAGCTCTGAATGTCAAACAAAGATACTGTTACTCCAGACCGTTGTTGCAGATTGAAGGAAGTGATTTTTAAGATGACTGTTTTAGAATTGCATATACTACTCACGCTTATAATCCTGGCTACCTTATATGCCAAAGACTATGTATCTATATATAAATTCATATGTTACATACTTTCAGGGCCATGCGGAGGCGTTGCGAAAGGGGGTGCGAAGGGGGCACTGATCCAAGCGCCAACATCGTTTAAGGGGTGGGGGTGCCAAAATCGTCTTTAGGTAGCACCTTTATAGTCAATTAAACGATACAATCCCATGCACTTCACAAAGACAAAGGGCGCCAAAATCAACAATTTTTTCACTGGGGCCGCCCAGGGCAGAGTTTTTGTCGATACATTGAATTGGCACAATTTTCAAGCTTCGCCCCGGGCGCCGCTTTTCCTCAGCTCTGCAAACTTTAATGAATTTTGATATTTTTAATCTCCTCTTTCTTAATTAAAAAAAAAAAGGGAATCAACATTTTTTCTTTCTTTCTTGAAACCGCCCCTGATAACATTACATCACCAAGACTTAATCGTAGTAAAGAAAGATGTTCAGTTCAGTTGATGTTGAATACAACTATTCCTTACCGATTCATTACTTATGCAGGAACCAGTGTTCTTCAAGCACTGAATGTAGTAAGACAGCTGCCTGTTAAGAACAATACACAAATTGTTGATGATTGAACGGCTTGATAATATCGGTTCGATAAATGTACACAAGTAACCGCAAACATGTAATACACAGCACACTTATTGTAACAACCAAAAAAAAAAAAAAAAAAAATGCTAATTCTATTTCCTAGGCGTACCCCGATCAGCACTAAGCCTAGGTGTAATCGGTTCGAAAAATGTACACAAGTAACCGCAAAAATGTAATACACAGAACACTTATTGTAACAACCAAAAAAAAAAAAAAAAAAAAAATGCTAATTCTATTTCCTAGGCGTACCCCGATCAGCACTAAGCCTAGGTGTAATAACTTAACGCAGTCGCATTCTGTGTTTAGGAGTATAAAACAGCACATCACTTAGAGCATTTGGCAGACTTAGGATCGGAAACATTTTGCGTATTGTTCAATTCGTTCAGGTCATCGACGTAGTTGAACAGACAGGCCTGCTTCTTGGCATCGCATTCTTAAATATGTACACATATCAGATTACGGTATTAATGAAAAGAAATATTAACTTATTTTTTTACAAATAAAATAGCACAAAAGAACCCCCACCCCCCCAAAACAAAACCAAAAAAAAAAAAACCAAAAACAAAACCACCTATGATTAAAAAAATTCATATAAAATTGTTTTTATATTTAAGATCATTTTTGGGACACCTGCGGCCCGTGGGCCACATACGGCCCAATTAAACGTATAATCCGGCCCGCAAAAGCTTTAGGCAAAGTTGACTAATGTTTTCGTAAAAAATACAACTTGTGAATGATTATCTGTATTTTATCTAAAAATGAACACTGAAAGTTTAAGACTGTACAAACTATTCATTTGTGCATTCACCATTAAACAGTAACCAGACATTATGTATTCGTTATGTTATTTTATTTATTTCAATTTTTGTTAAAAAAGTGTTCAGTTTATTGGCTAGAATTCCTAAAAAGTTTGCATTTGGCCCGAAAAAAATTAATTAATTTGCACTGCTGTCCCTGTACAAAAAAATTTACCATACCTGTTTCAATTAGAGTGATTTTCCATCATTCAAACTAAAAGTCAACACTAAAAATATGGTTAGACTAACTAAGTCATACTTCGTAAAGGAAAATAAATTTTAAAAGTTTCTTACCACTGATGTCTGTATGGAAAGAAAGTAGAATAAAATAAATCTATATTTGTTGTAAATTTTAATTTTTTAATTTATATGTTCATTGTTTATTAAAATAGAATTAAATCTAAATACTAAAAAATAGATTTAAAAAAATGTATTTATTTATTTAAAATTTTTTTTACAATGCTCTTCAATGATACTTGAATTATAATGTTTCGTCTTTAAACACTATTGGGCATTGGGAATACGCAGTGCTCATAAAGGGCACGTGAATTGCTCATGCAGGGCATATGAATATGAATTTCACTCAACGAAAACATTCCAATGGGAAGATAAGATCACATACGTTTTATTATGCAACAGTAACATTAATTAACATTTTATTAACAGTAACATTAATTTGCTGGCTTCATACTGATATCATGATTGTATATTAAAAATGTGCAGCGATGAAAAAATATTATTTAAATACCTGAAAATGATGGGAGGACTTTTTTTTGCTAATGGTCCTTGTAACCTCTTGTGTTTTATTGTGACTGGTCCTATTATTAATTTTAGCATAGGTTATCTGTCTAGGACCTTACCAAGCTCCACTCGTAACATAATACTGAGTCAGGGTTCTTCACACATCACTTTTATTATAGAAAAAAAAAAGACTTCACCCAAATATCTTCATAATGTATGATGCCTCAATTCACATACGGTGAACTATGGAATAGAAATCCAACATCTGTCGCCCTGAATCCATTGACTTTCTAAAAGAAATGTATTTATATCATGTCACTCAGAAATCTACAGCACAGACGTCCTCACTCATGAATTGACTTTTTCCTAAATGCCCAATTTAACACGCTTTCAAATATGGTTGCCGATGTTATCCTTTAATAATGCATTATTCATATTACTGCGCCCCGTGGAATTGGTGAGTTTTACTGAGTGATAAACCAAGACCACATAATATCATGTCGTTAGAGCGCTCAAGCAAGCCATCCGCGGTTTTTACATGATGTTGTCAAACAAAAGCAAAACATTAAAAAACAAAAAAAAATGTATTTTGTTCTTTCTCTTTAAAAAATTGCTGATCACTTAAAAAACAACAATTAGATGTCAATAGCTTTATGTCATATGAAACAAAGTTGTGTCCCGTTTGCTGCTTACGATTAAATGTAAAAAAAAAAAAAAAGAAAAAGAAGAAGAGATCCATTACTTACTGGTTGGATAGAACACACTGTTTATTTCTGAGAAGGAAAATACACATACATATTATGAATGCGGACAGGTTAAGTGCACGTAGAGTTGTTCAGGGCAAGATTTACGGGGATTGGATAATAAAGGCGTGAAAATTAAATAAAATAATTTAAAGCAGGCCTGCTGCACAACTCAACATTTAAGGCGGGCCGTAATACTGTATGAAAAAACCTGTGCGGACCAAAAGAAAATAGGGCGAAGGGAAAGCTATTAGGATAATAATACGAATAAAGAATATTTCGTTACTGCGCGGGCCGCAAAGTGGGTGCTGGTGGGCCGCATGTGGCCTGCGGGCCGTATGTTGTGCAGACCTGATTTAAAGCATCATATTCTTTACATATTCTCACACTACTTTTCAGTGTATCAATACAAGATTCAGCAGTGAGAGTTTTTGGTAATGTTATATAGATATAATGAAATATGTGCCGTCACCACAACTGGATAGGTTTAGCGCTGTCAGTCTGTCTAGGGTCACGAGGAATAGAGCTCTAAAGGTGACGTCAGATGTGCAGGTCAGATTTTTAATACAAGAAAGAGCTTCCTTGGTCTTTCTGTGGAAATGTAGGACAAGGTGTAAAAAAGAAAATAATAAAAGAGTCAGAAATTAGCTGTTAAATAATATATAGGACTAAATGATATTTAATTGACGATTGATAAAATTAATTTTTATGACATAAAGCACATAACTCAGAATGGAAAGTTTCAATTTCCTAGCTTTTAATATATTTTATTTTTTTATCTGGTCCCACAATAATATTTGACTCTTTAAGATACTTGCTTGAATATTCTTTACCTTTTATAACACTTATGGGAAAAAAGGTTATTTTGTAGAAAAAAATAACAAAATGTTTTGGGCCATACAATGCATTGAGAGGAAATAAATTACTGAAGGGAAAAGTGTTATTTTAAATACTATTTTTATTTTGTCTGTTTTAATTATCCCTACTCAACTTACAGAAATCGAGTTTAGAAACAAAAACTTAGCTTTACAAAAAATGTGAACGTACCCCATACATATGTACCCATGCTAAGTGTGTTTTTTCGTGCGCACAAGTTGGTGTGTATATAATAATAATAATACAGTTTATTTGAAAATCATGCTTCACCCCAAAGGCTACAAGCGCGGTACAAAGTCATCCATATTAAAAAAGAAATGAAAAAAAAAATCTATATTTTACCACATTGAAATACAAAACGAAACATTACAAAAACTCCATACGAGGATACCCATTCTAAACTACATACGAGGATACCCATTCTAAACTACATACGAGGATACCCATTCTAAACTACATACGAGGATACCCATTCTAAACTACATACGAGGATACCCATTCTAAGTCTTTCATCCCTTGCAACCATAAACAACACGGCCACTTTACACCTAGGAGATAATAGCTAGCTGGAAAAGATGGTAGACAACTTCACCCGAACAGGTGTTTGCGAAATAGATATGTTTTTAAATCGGTTTTGAAAGACTCCAGTGTCTGGCTATTTCTGAGAGCGACAGAAAGTGTGTTCCAAATTTTTGGGTCAGGAAATGCGAACGTGCGTGTTTTCGTGAGTGTGCATTCAGCCCCTAAGTGGGGATTGGATTTTCTCTGCACAGCTGTATTACTTGTTCTTATACATAACGTTCTGGTCTATTTGATTTTTGATGCATATGTTCAATTATTAATTTTCAGAATTATATGTTAAAAAATGCACGTTAAGATCTCTATGCTCTGGTCTTTTATACATCTATTTTCACATTGACGCCTGTGTAATAGTTAATAGTTATGACTAGTGTATCTTCTGCAAAGTGTATAGGGCATTGTACGAAACGAAAGTGTACCCTCACCCGCACTTGTCTTCGTCTGTGGCGGAACTGTTACCAAACGCAGCCGCAGCAGATCTTTGACAGTCATTCTGAGCAGTACTGCAACCTGGACGGTTTGAGAATAACATGGATTAGGCGATGAAAGCACAAGTGTCTTCAATATTATTCTCAAAGTGCGGTGCGTGACGTCAACCTTTAATGTAGAATGTCAAGTGTTTTGTTTTTTGTTTTTGGTTGGGTGGGGGAGGGGGCATTCAGTACTTTGCCCCAATAAATTTGTGTCGAAATAGTAGAAAAAAAATTAAACAGACAACTGACTTTATCTGGATTTGTTTTAAGGAATTCTAAAACTAGTTGTTATACCCAATATTACCAAGCATTGTCTTCTTTCACTTGATTAGTTGTTCTATGCCTCCATTGAAAACCTACTACTAAACAAACACACGTCTGCATTAATATAAAATATCCGTTGTAGGTATTTAACTATTTACGAATAAAGCCCTTTTGTGTACGTGAGCTCCACAAGGCATGAAACTCAAATTAGATCTCCGTATTTTAAGTGCATTTCTGTAAGAAATTCACTCTGATTAGCGCGCCGTGAAATCAAACAGTACTCACCCGATTGTTGCCCGTTGCTAACTCCAACTGCAGTTACTGTGCGGGGAAAAAATCCATAAAAATGGTAAAAAAATAAATAAAATAACACGCATAGTTGGGATGGCAATGAAAATCCTAGGGATAAGCGGGGAAAAAAAAAAGGAAGCATATTCAATATTTTAAGTCACGCTTAAGTACGGTAACATACAGGATGCATTAGCTCTTGTCCGCCGTCCTAGGATTGGAATCAATACTTAATTTTGTGAACAGAGAACAATGGAAAGAGGAACCTGACGAGAGGTAAGTAGGCTGAATTCATCTAAAACGCGTTTATTTGGGTTTAAGAACACAATTTACAGTACCGTTTAATATTAAAGTATTTTTCAAAAGACTGAAATATTTCAGTGGTGCGGTAATCCATTCTATTTTCTTCCCTAAGCATTTGCTGGGTATCGTTGTGCACAATAACTAACAGGCGTAGGGCAAGGGGCTTTAATAGTTTAGATTGAACATTGAAGAAGGGAAGTTCACGTACGTGTCGTGTCTCTGTTGGAATAGCTTCTTGTACATTTGCGTGACGTTATTAAAATTTGTAAGGCTTTGTTGTACATGTGTACAAGAGGTAAAAAACACGGGGTATGGGAAAACCTAAAAGAAGTTAAAAAAAAATAAATCAAGGAATGTGACGGAAAAATGTCTTCTTCTGCAAAAGTAATGAGAGATAAAAGTTGAAATTAAAAAAAAAAGAACTTATCTTAGATATAATATTGCAAGTTAATGTTATAATAGAGATGCCATTTTAGCCAAGTTAATGTGAATAAAGATATGCCATTTTAGCCAAATTAATGTGAATAAAGATATGCCATTTTAGCCAAGTTAATGTGAATCAAGATATGCCATTTTAGCCAAGTTAATGTGAATAAAGATATGCCATTTTAGCCAAGTTAATGTGAATAAAGATATGTCATTTTAGACAAGTTAATGTGAATAAAGCTATGCCATTTTAGACAAGTAAATGTGAATAAATATATGCCATTTTAGCCAAGTTAATGTGAATATAGAGATGCCATATTAGCCTAGTTAATGTGATTATAAAGATGTCCTTTTAGCCAAGTTAATGTGAATATAGAGATGCCATATTAGCCAAGTTAATGCGAATATAGAGATGCCATTTTAGCCAAGTAAATGTGAATATAGAGATGTCATTTTAGCCAAGTTAATGTGAATGTAGTGATGTCATTCAGAGAAGTTAAAGTGATTACAGAGATTTTATTTTAGGCGCAAGTTCATGCGAGTGTGGAGATGCCATTTTTTGCAAGTTAAAATTAGAGTAGAGATGTCATGTAAGCCACGTTAAATGAACCTGGTAAAGAGATCGCGTAAGACGTCTCTACGTCTCTCTACTTACACAACGCTAGCAGAAGCACCGTGACGTCAAGCATATCCATTGGATTGTTTCATCAAATGGTGAAATACAAATTTAAGACTTAAGTATAACAAAAAATCAATCTTTAAAAAGGAAAGTCCAACAACATACGCCACCCAAAGTAACTATCTCCAGCTATAACCCATAAGACGACAGCTGGCCTTGACAGCAATACCTGGGTCACGTGATATTGGCAATGCTGTCAGCAAGGGTTTTTCTATGGTCCGCTGCGCATTGCACTTTACAAGGACGTGTACGGGTGATCAATAGAAGGAGTGGCCTAGGCGCTGCGTGGCGAGGGGCCCCGGCGAGAAGGCTGTCGATAGAGGTTCTCATTTCAATTTCCCTGTCTACTGCAGGTGCGCCAAGCTCGTTATCTTTTTTTACAACAACTGAGCCACACGGTAACATGGAGCGTGAGATTTATCTATTTTTTTCAATTAAATCAGACCCCAAAACCCCGACTCCTCTGTGGAATAGTTGTCTTCCACGAAATCGCCCCAAAGGACCAAAAAAAAAAAAAAAAGGTATGGGACATCAGGTATAAAGGAGGCGTTGTCAGGTGAACGATGGATGACTAGATCAGTTGTGAATAGGCTACACGTTTTCCACGCTGTTAATCGTTGACATAAGGAGAATAAGAATTATTTATTTATTGTTTTTAATTTTATTTTTTACCGAAATCCAATGCATGGAGCAAAGCTTCAAAGGCGCACATATTGAATGAAAGGAAGATAAAGTAGGCACATATTGAATGAAAGGAAGATGAAGCAGGCACATATTGAATGAAAGGAAGCTGAAGTAGGCACATATTGAATGAAAGGAAGCTGAAGCAGGCACATATTGAATGAAAGGAAGCTGAAGCAGGCACATATTGAATGAAAGGAAGATAAAGCAGGCACATATTGAATAAAAGGAAGATGAAGCAGGCACATATTGAATGAAAGGAAGCTGAAGCAGGCACATATTGAATGAAAGGAAGATGAAGCAGGCACATATTGAATGAAAGGAAGCTGAAGCAGGCACATATTGAATGAAAGGAAGCTGAAGCAGGCACATATTGAATGAAAGGAAGATGAAGCAGGCACATATTGAATGAAAGGAAGATGAAGCAGGCACATATTGAATGAAAGGAAGATGAAGCAGGCACATATTGAATGAAAGGAAGCTGAAGCAGGCACATATTGAATGAAAGGAAGCTGAAGCAGGCACATATTGAATGAAAGGAAGCTGAAGCAGGCACATATTGAATGAAAGGAAGCTGAAGCAGGCACATATTGAATGAAAGGAAGATGAAGCAGGCACATATTGAATGAAAGGAAGCTGAAGCAGGCACATATTGAATGAAAGGAAGATGAAGCAGGCACATATTGAATGAAAGGAAGATGAAGCAGGCACATATTGAATGAAAGGAAGCTGAAGCAGGCACATATTGAATGAAAGGAAGCTGAAGCAGGTTTATTTTTCAAAACGAAAGGAGTGGGTATTCTTGCGCCTAATTTTCTTTTTCTTTCCCAACAGCCGCCTTTGAAAAAGTTATCAATAAATCGAATCAAATCTAAATAAAAGTCACCCTTTTCTCTGGTGTGTTTTAATTTAGTTTACAC